TTATTTTCTCCCTGACACACTCAGACACATGGGGGCAAACACAGGAAGGAAGACAAGAGACAGGGAGAACAGCATTTCAAAATTAAACCATTAAATGAGAATGTCCGTTCGGCACCTCATGACGCATCTACTGAGTACCGGGCGGCTGTATATATATATATGGACAGTGCTGGAATTGGGCCGGTACTGACCGGTACGCAGTACCGGCACTTCTGGTTCTGACCCATGGAGTACCGGCACTTCTTGCTCAGTACCGGCATGCTGGCGGTACTCCGGTACTCATGCACCGTGCCAGTACTCAACACTCTACCGCCGTTCTTATTATACATCCATATTATATGGATGATACGGTGATACGGTGAGTACCGGCCCAATTCCAGCACTGGGGTGACAGTAAGGAGGGCCACTGTGGCCCTCCTTACTGTCACCAGTGACAATGGCACAAGTCAAGTGCAATATCAGCCTGTGACCATCTCTGTTGTCATCGAAAATGATATTGTGGTCAGCCTCCCCAGACTTGCAGATGCATTCCTGGTAATGTTTGGACTAATTTATTTATTACACCTCAGCTATCCCAAAGGACTGACAAACACTTTCGAGTTCACTCAGAAGGTTTTACTTGGTCTGGAAGATGGTAAATTGTCGCCCAAGTTGCAGACCCTCAAGAATGACTTGCTGATGCATGTGTAGAAATTAGTGGTGCACGATAATTATCGGCCCGATAATTATCGGCCCGATAATTATCGGCCCGATATTAGGAATTATGACGTCATCCCGATAAACCCGATAAAAGTATTAATAGCCCCGATAATATACAATATATTTTTTGGGTAAAAAAAAGAACAAAATACTGCGGTGTGGGTGGATTGGGATGAGGGGCGCTTGTTTTTCACTCGGCTCCTCCCGTTTTGCCAGTACTGTGGTATTAGTGATTTAGGAAGAGGGGAGTTTTTCACAAATCCAGCGCTCCCTAACTGCCTGGCTGTGACGTAAATGGTGTGCGGCCGTGAAGCCAGGATAGTAAACAAACATGTCGCCGGTAGTATGGGACTATTTCAAAGTTTCAGAGTTAGATAGTTCGCTTGCTATTTGTATTAACAAATGCAATGCAGAAGTTCCACGAGGAGGGAAAAAGGCAACGAGCTATAATACTTCCAACCTGATTAGTCACCTGAAACATCGCCATCGCTACGATGGTGTGTTAAAAGCGTACGAAGACGCCTGCGCTGCTAAACTAGCGGCGAATCCAAAGCCAGCTGCAAAGGCACCGGGGCTTTTACCTATCGACGAGGCTTTTGAAAAAGGCAAGAAGTTTGCCAGAGACGACCCCAGGGTTAGTTTTGTTCATAGTAGTAATGCTCATGTCATTTGCTCACTACTAGTCTTTTTTTTACCACCAGGTGTGCAAAAACTACAGGTACATTTAATATATATATATATATATATTATATTATTATCGGTTATCGGTATCGGTCTTGAGAAGCAGGAAGTTATCGGTATCGGTTTCAAAAAACCAATATCGTGCATCCCTAGTAGAAATCCATCTGAACAACAGGTGGGGCATTTTAAGGCATTTTCCCTCTACTTCAAAGTGATTTCCTTCTGAAATAAAAATGTCTTAAGAAAGTTGCTGTACCAGTTGCTGCAGGTTTTCAGCCAGGTGGTCAAGCTGCTCAATGTTCCCTTTTACTTGTACATGTTGTATTAATGTCAAATGTGTACTGTTTACCATTGTTCACATCAAAGTGTCTTTGATTTTGAGGGATGACTGTTTGCACTTTAATAATACCAAATATTTCTGATTAACTGGCATTAATCATGTGAATGTGTGTTTATGCGTTTGTTTGTTTGTTGTTGTTGTTGCACTTTAACTCATCCAGATGAAGATTTGATACTTGTTAATGTAATTCATTTACATTTTAGGGTTTTACAGTTAAAGACTGTCATTGTGATTTTATCAAAGTTGTTGCTCTATTCAGGTTTTAACCTAAACGTGCCAGAAGTACAATTGCCTTTGCATTTTTTTTATTTTTTTTATGACTACTTATTTTACTGTCTTGTAAATGTTAACAGGACAGCATGTTAAATAGGAGGGCTAGAAAATAAGAAATGTAGTAAAGCTGTTCAAGTTAGTCACACTCGATTCAATTGAGGCAATCAGTTGTGTCAATGTTTTTAAGTTTTAAGTTATGTGATTTTGAGTTGACTAAGTCAATGTGTTTGGTTTGGTTGAAATAATAAATATTGAGTTCTGTTAACCCAAAAAATAAAAGACTGAGTACTTATGTCTTTAAGTTCTGGTAACTTAATCCATTAGTAGAGGTGAATTCAAATGTTTAAGTCACAGTACCTGAACATATTTGAGTTGACTTAATAAGCCATTTTAATTTGACTGTAATCAATAGGTACATGTAGCATTTAATCCAATTATTTAAGTTCTTGAAAATTGTAAGTTTTGAGTTGATTAACTTAAAATACTTGAGGCAATCAGTTGCCCTAATTTTTTTGAGTTAAGTTTACTTATTGGGGCTTACAGAGCTCAACGAGGCTCCCTCCTGTCAGATGGAGGGAGTCCCCTCTCTCCGGCAGAAACAGGAAATGCCGTAACAACGGTTTCAAATCAGCATCTCTTAGACAAAAAGTTTAAATGAATAACTCAAATAAAACTCCAAACATCTTTCATTGTGTTTCAAAGCTCTTTTAGTTTAAAACCCTTTATAAGCTTCTTAGTTTTTGCAACGGTCTGTAAATATACACAACTTTATAATAAAATGCACACATTTACCTTTTTCTAGACTAAACACAGGTATGATCCTAAGTTAAAACATATGAGGTTATCATGAGGTTGTTAACATCGCAGTTTATCAGTGGACTTGTAAACAGCGTGTTTCCTGACGGACACACACAGCATGACTCGGGTCAGGTAGAGACCGGTCTCAAGTCAGCATCGATCCAGACTCGCTGTTTGAGGGCTTGATAGGCCACTCCCCCTCCACACTCGTTGCTTTGGAACAGCCCTCAATATGGCGGACCCTCCGCATGAACGCGCAAACGGAGGGGTATGGTGTAGGGGGGCGGTTTGGGAATGGGCCCTCGACTCCTCCGTATAGAGACTTCTCAATACTCAAATGTCCCCTTCTCGACTCCTCGACTCCTCGGTCCTCCAGTAGTGACCCGGAAATGAATTTCAGCGCGCCATTTTGAAGGACATCTAATTTCTCTAAATGCACACCGAGGACCGAGCATCGAGCGTCGAGGAGGCTCTCTGGAGGAGCTATAACAGAGGATACACTGATGGGTCCTCCACGGCTCCTTCGTGGATGCATTTCCGGGAACGGTGGAGGCGTGACGCACGGCCGGACTTATCTCAGCCAATGACAGCTCTGCATGCATCCCTCTGGATATTATTTTAGAAACTGCTTTCATCGCGTTGCGATGTTTACAGTGAGAACAGCTGTGAGGTCCTTGCAGAAAGCAGAGCAGTGTACAATATATATCACTCAGTATAACAGGCCTACATTACTCTCTTTATTTGCTGTAGTTTAGTAGATATACAAACAAAGAGTCCAGATGTTTCTAAGACCATTTAGTGCTTCACATAATAAAATACACAACGGCTGTAGCCTGATTATGCTTTAGGAGCTGTAAGTGTGTTTGGTAGGCAGTGTGTATGTATGTGTATGTGTGTGTGTGTGTGTGTGTGTGTGTGTGTGTGTGTGTGTGTGTGTGTGTGTGTGTGTGTGTGTGTGTGTGTGTGGTACAGTGTAGGTGTGTGTTGTACAGTGTGTAGGTGTGTGTTGTACAGTGCGTAGATGCGGCGGACATACGGGTCTCAGTTGGTTTGGTGTCCTCTGCTTATACTTTTAATACTTGTAAATACAACTTTTGGCCCGTAATTTCAATTCCCCATTTCAGCGACCAGAGAGAGGGGGGGGGGGGGGGGATATATCCAGTCTCTGATTGTGTTACGTTATTATGAGAGTGCTCTCATACTTTAAATTGTATATATTTATATAAATATATTTGTGTGTGTGTGTCCGCATCTGTAGCCTGTTATTGTCTCATTATACCGCACTCTCAATGAATTCAAAGTAAATATGTGGGGGAACAATGTTCAGCTGATCTAACAGAGATACAGTGCTATGACAAAACACTGCAACAGCTGATGCAGCTGTTGCCACGTAATAATGAACGGACGTCTCTTTAAAATGACCGCTCAGAGGAGAGGAGTTCTCATTTCTTTAAACGTCTGCTGCTTCCCCTCCTCTCTCCTCGGTCCCCCGCTCGCATCTCCTGTGGGCGGGACTAAGTCTCGAGGAGGGGAGTCGAGGAGGGGAAATTTAAGAATTGAGAAGCCTCGTGTGCATTTCAGCTATTGGGACGTCCTTCAAAATGGCGTGTCTTGATCGATTTCCGGGTCAAGTCCCGGAGGAGGGGAAGAGAGGAATCGAGGAGGGGTATTGGGATGAGGCTAGAGACCCAGATGTAGGCTACTTGCACTGTAGCATATTATTTTCGAATCAATAATTTTTCAAATTATGAATTTCACACATTAAAAAAAAAAAGACATACATTTCTTGGACGTGCTCTGGCTATAGGGGTACCTGCAGCACCGCCTAGTGCCCCCCTAGATACACTGATAGACAACATTGATTCAATTACACCATGAATTATTTATGTTTTGATTTGACAATTGTCATGAGATGTCTCTAAATGTTATCAAATGGAAATGAAAGAAATACTCTCAAAGGGGGACATCTCAGAGTCAAATCCATCGTTCTGCTTCTTAAAACTACGACATGTATTTCAAGAAACAGTTACGATTTATTGTTTGCCTAAATGTCCCACGAGAGGTTTCCATGAGCCTGCATCTTTAGTGCCATGTTCTAGTCTCAAGTGTGGGTCTGGGGAAAAAACACCCTATCTGTTTGGCTGTAATGCCACCAGTGATGCTTTAGAGGGGGCCAACCACTTTGAATACGACCATTTTGCAGGAAACAGCAGAGGAAGAAATCACACATCAACAAAACCCTGCAGCTCAGTACGCTATCAAGGCAACATTTTAGGAAAGCTGTCGGAACGTAGAGTTACGTTTTACTCTGACACCTCGTTCAATGCACTTAGAATAAAACATGTCGTGTGCAGAAGATACAGGAGAGCACGCGCTTGCAGATGGGGGGAAGGAGCTGCCTTTGTGTGGGTCAGAGGAGCAGGGCTTTAAACCAGGACCGGGGGTCGGTCAACCCCCCTCCGCCAGGTTCCTGCAGGTGGAGCTGGAGCTGAACGCCCACCTCCGCCGGCTGTCCTTCAGTGAGCCCGTCCGGCACATCTACAACCCACTGGAGTACGCCTGGGACACGCACCGCTGCTACGTGCAGAGGTACTGTCGCCCCGGACAGAGGATCCTGTTTCTAGGGATGAATCCGGGACCTTTCGGCATGGCACAGACCGGGGTGAGCACCGCGTTTAGATTTCTGTCAGTTAGCTTTTTTTACTTGGCGTACATGTTTAACTGGTAGAAACAGTTAGTCTCAGAGTCTCTGCTCAGTCATGCGCGATGATCTGAATGCGGAAGTTAACCTAAACAACAACAATCCCTATTTTTCACTGCAAGAACATGTTCGTTTTTCCTTTGTTCTTTGTATTGTATTTGTATTGTAACGCCACAATTATTGCATTTTTTCTGTTGGAATTCTGAATTTGACAAAAGATTTGTATAGGTCAATATTTAGAGCTTTTTCTTTCTTTTCTTTGTAAAGTTCTGTTATTCTTTCTTGCAACACACTGCTTGAAGAACAAAAAACATTTATACTAAGAGATAATAATTCACTATACTGTGTTGACCATTCATGGTTCTGGTTTATATTGAACATAATTGAACCTGCTGGCATTCACAAATCTCACAATTCGACCTTTTTTTAAGAATTCGGAATTTTGAGGCTAAAAAAAGGTAGAATTGTGAGATACAAATCTGAATTATTTTCTCCCTGACACACTCAGACACAGGAGGGCAAACACAGGAAGGAAGACAAGAGACAGGGAGAACAGCATTTTAAAATTAAACCATTACAATCTGTGACAAAAAAATATTTTAAGCTCCTACCATATGGGGAAACAATCATATTTATGAGAATACATTTAGAAAATTAAATCTGAATTTCTAGTTTGAAATCTGAGTTTTGAGATTTAAATTTGAACCTGTTTTTCCCCCTAGGAACTCTGAATTCAAACTAAGCATTCTCAGATAAATTATGATTTAGATCTCAACATTCTAAATGTATTCAAAGAATAGCGAAGGGAGAAAATAATTCCGATTTTTATCTCACAATTCAACCTTTTTTAAGAATTCGGAATTTAAATGTCGAGGCTAAAAAAGAGTATGGCTTTTGCCACAATTATTGCACCAAATAAGAGCAAAGTGAAATATTTCTAGACCTGGTGGACAGAGCCAGTAATACAAGTAAAGTCAACACCCACTCAAAACTGCCACCATGTGGCAGATAAGATATTTTGCATTAATTCTTAAAATATAGCGCCCCCAGTGTACCTATTTGGTATTACATCTGGAAATTAAATATAGCGCCCCCAGTGTACCTATTTGGTATTACATCTGGAAATTAAATATAGCGCCCCTAGTGGACAAAAGTTATAAATATAATAGCGCACTCTGGTGGACATATTGTATATACATTATAAATAATACAATTCAGTCACACACTAGTGTTCAAATTTAGAACAATTATATTTAGCACATATTTGTATATTTAAAGCATTACACATAAATAATTATTATCAGAAGTACAAAAGGGATTAGTAATTAATCCATAATAATTTCAAGTATTCATCGGTGACGTCATCACTTCGGAGTGACGTCACAACGTGATCATGCTCCGCAAGGTATCAAAGCTGCCGATCAGCTTTTTTACACAGGGCAAGCACTGCAAGTCTTTTGCTTGGTGGAGTTCACTATTTGAGTTCTATTTGCAAACTTTCAGGAGAGGCTCTGTGATGTCACGAATGATGTCACGAATGATGTCACTACATCCTGCATGACGTCACCAATGATGTCATCGCACTCCGCATCACTGATTTCAAAGAGCCTTTCTTCATGATCACATGACATTATGCAGTAATTATCTTCAGTCAAGTAAAATACAAGTAAATACAAATACAATTGAAATTCTTGCACTATTTCAATTTTATGTGTATTTACTAAATGTATTCAAAGAATAGCGAAGGGAGAAAATAATTCAGATTTTTATTTCACAATTCAACCTTTTTGAATTCGGAATTTGAATTTCGGGGCTAAAAAAGAGTATGGCTTTTAACGCCACAATTATTGCATTTATTTTTTGGAATTCTGAATTTGACAAAAGATTTGCAAAGGGAGAAACTAAGTCAAATTTTGATCTTGAAATTCAGATTTCTTTTGAGAATCCTGAATTGTAAGTGAAGAATTCCGAGGATGAAAAGATTTGTGATGTTTAATTTCTGAATTTAGATTTATTTCTGAGATTTTAAAATATGAATTGTGAGGGGACACAAAAAATAGTTCTTAATATTAATCTCAAAACTCAGATTTTAAACTCCAAATGATGACTTTATATTCCTGATGCATAAACTGTAACTTTTTGCATAAATTCAAAGCTAAAAAAACATTTCCCACATGTTACCCTATCCTCTTCCCTATCCATCACTTCCATAGGTCAATATTTAGGGCTTTTTCTTTCTTTTCTTTGTAAAGTTCTGTTATTCTTTCTTGCAACACACTGCTAGAAGAACAACAAACATTTATACTAAGAGATAATAATTCACTATACTGTTTTGACCATTGATGGTTCTGTTTTATATTGAACATAATTGAACCTGCTGGCATTCACAAATCTCACAATTCGACCTTTTTTTAAGAATTCGGAATTTTGAGGCTAAAAAAAGGTAGAATTGTGAGATACAAATCTGAATTATTTTCTCCCTGACACACTCAGACACAGGAGGGCAAACACAGGAAGGAAGACAAGAGACAGGGAGAACAGCATTTCAAAATTAAACCATTAAAATCGTGACAAAAAAATATTTAAGCTCCTACCATATATGAGTTTTGAGATTTAAATTTGAGAAAATAATTCATATTTATTTCACAATTCAACCTTTTTTTAAGAATTTGAATTTCGGGGCTAAAAAAGAGTATGGCTTTTACCGCCACAATTATTGCATTTTCATCGAAAGCTCCTGATGTAGCACCATTTAAAGGCCTTATACAGTAACGGTGCGCAATGCCCCTTTTAAGTGACTCAGACTGCAAATATTGAACAATTATTTGTTTCTGAATTATCGATTTAATTGATCAGATTTTAGTTTAAAGACTTGCTGGGATTGTTTGCAGCGTAACATTCCTACAACATTTCACTGGAGCTCCGCGGGCAGCAGATCCATCCAAAGACAGGTTTCTTCCACGTGCCTTGTTGTATATTCTGTACACTTCATTTGTTTTACATGCGTGGTTTCCCTTTTGTTGTTTGTATATTGTGCAATGTTATATACATATTATATAATCACGTGGCTGTACATTTTATACTGTAAGTCTTTGCCTTATTTTTTTCTCCTGATGATCACTTCATGGTAATTTTCTTAAGATTAAATCTTGTTGTATTTTTCTCTACGCAACCATGCAACTGACAGGTGATCTTTGACACATTACTGGTATTTAGTTTTTGTATCTGTATAAGCTGTATCATGTATTGAAAGGATGATTCTAACAATAAATGATTACATATTTGGTCTCAATACCACTATTAACATTGTGACATAACCCCCCCTTTTCTAAATTCACATTTAGAATTTTGAGATCTAAATAATAATTTATCTGAGAATGCTTAGTTTGAATTCAGAATTCCTAGCGGGAAAAATAAGGGTTCAAATTTAAATCTCAAAACTCTGATTTTAATCTAGAAATTCAGATTTTTTAAAAAGTAAACCTAGTTCAAACTATAGTTTCCTATTTTTTTTCCAACCAGTTGCTGGTGTGCTGTTTACCTTCAACCAACACAAATCAGTGTCAAGTACTGCAGTAAATGATGTGGTAAAAAAACAAATATCTACTTTTCTGGCCACAGGTCCCGTTTGGTGAGGTGAGCTCAGTTGTGGATTGGCTGCAGATCACAGGGGAGGTGGGTCATCCTCAGGACGAGCATCCAAAGCGGCGGATCACAGGACTTGCCTGCACTCAGAAGGAAGTGAGCGGCGCACGTTTCTGGGGCTTCTTCAGGAAGCTGTGTGGTGAACCAGCACTGTTCTTCCAGCACTGCTTTGTGCACAATCTATGTCCGCTCATGTTCCTCGGGGCCAGTGGGAAGAATCTAACCCCCCCTGAGCTGCCTGCAGGTGAGCGGGAGGCCCTCCTTGCCCTGTGTGACATTGCTCTGTGCCAGGCAGTGGAGGCTCTGGGTGTCTCCATGGTGATCGGGGTTGGGAGGGTGGCAGAGCAGCGAGCGAGGAAAGCCCTGTCCGCAGCAGGGGTTAGGGTCCGAGTCGAGGGCATTATGCACCCGTCACCCAGGAACCCTCGAGCCAATAAGGGCTGGGAGGAAGTAGCCAGAGCCAAGCTGGAAGAACTCGGTGTGTTGTCACTGCTGAACAAGGACAACCTGTGAGCTAACACACCTTCTCTGACACGGGCCTTATCAACAGCAGCCCACTACCTCTGAAAATCGACCAGGATGTGAGAAGTTTGAGTTAGAGACTTTAGTGTGTGTGATGTGATCAATGGGTTAGTGTTCTTCTTAAAAGGGCAGGATCACAATTCCCCTTACAGATCAGTCTGTATTTGAGCTGCTCCAAGGAGATCTCGTCATACTATCCCACGTCTGGCATCACAACTGTCAGCGTATGCAAACTTTATTTTTCTGTAAACATTGATTTGTCTGTTTATCTGAAGGTAGCATGCTGAGCACAGCACTATGGTATTAGGCATTTATTGTAAGAAAAAAACAACACTACTGTCTGTACTGTATATGCTTGTAAGTCTATAGTCAACGTGTAAGCTCAGTGTTCGGTGAGAATGCTGTGTTTAGGAGTTGTTGTCAGGTAATAGCATTAATTCAACTTCTTAGGAATATATTAATACAGGCATTACAAATTGTCCGGACATGTATCCTGTGTATTGGGACACACACTGACCACTAAACATGTCGAAAGAGAAAAATGTATTTCACAATGCGGTGCTTTCCATGCACATATTAGGTATTTGATTTACCTTTAAAAAGGTATTCAATCATTTACCAAGTTGAACATTTATCATTATTATCATATACATTATATAAACAAGGTCTTTCATGTCCTATGTTTCCGAAGAAAATTAAGCTGTATAGGTGCAGTCCTCAGGAAGAAAAACATACTCGGAGTAGTAGCCTGTTACAGCAGGCTCACCGCTGAGTAGTTTATTTTATATTCCCCTATTTAGCGTGCTTTTATATTATTTATTTTACGTGTGCTTGCCTTTTTACTTATTATGTTGATCTTCGACTCTACTTTTGTCTGCACGGTCCCTTTGCTGTATCACTGTACATTACCTCGCTGTGGGACAAATAAAGGCTTTCTTATTGTGATACTCACTGTAGCATTTACATGGTAACCTTACAAAGTTCAGAAACATATTTTGTAGATGTACAGTTGTAAATATTTGATACTGGACCACCGTACAATACTATTTGTTGTATTCTTTATTTAAATGTCTTATTCATTGTTTTTATTTCAATAATGTATTTTATATGTTCAAACAACGATTGTATCCACAATGTGAACATTCAATGTGAATGTGTCTCCCTCGAAGATTAAAGATAAAGGCTTACTGACAACTAAGGCTGATCGTTTGCATGGGGTTGTGGTGCTATGGGTGTTGACTTTTTAGTTATTGCCACACTCACTGTGAGCTAATGTTAAAGGTGCAGTGTGGGCTGCCCATTTATTCTGCCAGTTTAATACACTAATGTAAATGTTTAGATTTCAAACCATCTGTCACTTAATGTATAAGCGTTCTGTTTTTGACTTGGTTTTGTCTTTGTGATTCCCCTGAATTGCTTTTGAATGTGGGTTTGTGCTGAAACTACACTGCCATCTTGTGTTCGTAAGTGAGATCAAGATTCTTACGCAATCAGCGACAGTTCTGGTTCAAAAGACTGATTTACAGAGTATTATTAGCATAGGCTGTATCCAAATCACTGAAACATGAAAGTGCTGATGAGTTTTAAAACACTGTTAAAAACAATGAAGCTTATTATTGCTTCATTGAGAAGTTTGTAGGAAAACACACTTTAAGAGCATAATATTGTCTGTTGTTAGGCTAAGTATTCTGCTTTGTTTTCATTCCTTGTATGCCTGATTCCAGGACCGTGGGTTCACTGAAGTTGTTGTGAAGAGTGTTTTGCCTTCATCATCTTGCCCCCATTTCCCCACCTCCCCCATTTCCACTTATACGAATTGCAATAACTACAGCTGCAGATCCTATATCCAATAACAATATCTTATAATGGGAGTTGTAGTTCACAGCCCCGTTTCTCCTTATGATGAACTATAGACCCACAAACTGCATCTCCCATGAGACACCCAGCATCACTCATTTTAGTTGGGGGTCCACATGATTCAGGATTCGTTATGAAAGTCCTGCACCGGACCAGATAGCTCATCACTTTCCACAGATTGATCCAAAGCTCTATCCTTCAAGAGGCGACAGCAGGACATCACATTAACTTCTCAGCAGAATACGGTAAGGAAACATTAACAGCACTAATTAAATAGTTAGCAAATCAACACAATTGAAAGCATACATATATAAAATGTTCTTAGAAAGCTCTGTGTACTTAATTTTAGAATATATAACTAATTAAAATAACCTACAACAAAAGCCAGGGTTATCTTGTGAATAAGGGCAGCATTAAATAGATGAAATTGTATTGTATTTAATTTAATTTTTAATTAACCGCACATATTTAAGCAATGTATTACTTGATATACTACTTAATTTCAAATATATCTGACCATTTTTGATTTTGAGAATTAAATATAAGACATGGAAAATAATAAATGAAGTTGAGCTATTAGTTGGCTAATGACTGTCTTTTATGATTAATAACTTTAAGATGATGTGTTGTAACTTCGGTGCTCAGTATATGTAGCTTGTTGTTGTTATTGTGAAATCATTGTATGGTCATGAGTGCCGGGTGTTACGAGCATGCTGCATTCCTGATGTGACTCTGCTATCATGTTCATCAGCTGTCTTCTCCAGAATGAAACTGGATCAGATTTCCCTGCTCTCATGTTTTCTTCCTAAACAGCGCAGCTTCCTATTACCATGGAAAAACAGCCCACGGTGGTGTTTCATAATGTGGGGCAAGTTTACTTCCCCCAATCCAGAGTGGAGTGCCACTACAGTCTGACCTCTGACCACCGCTGGAGCAGCTCTGACTGGATAGGGATTTTTGAGGTGAACGACCCACTTTATCACCCTTCCCCCACTCTGACAGGGAAGATATTTTAGCAAATTAAATGAAATGCCAAGGGATGGTCATAGGAATGCATTCAAATGTTTTTGTCATCATGTCACAGGTGGGCTGTACTTCAAGGAAACAATATCACACATATACGTGGGCTCTTGTCCCTGAAGGCTACACTGAAGGTACCAGCGTAAACTGCTGTGCACTTTTCCACGGTAAGAATTCATCCAAACATTAAAGAGGCCCTATGATGCTTTTTGGGGTTTTCCCTTTCCTGTAGTATGTTATATTGTTTTGGCTAACGTAATGTAAAGGTTAACTTCCCAAAGTCTCCTCCAGAGGGAGTTTCTCTTCCACTGCCCTCTGCCTGAAACGCCTCGATTGGATTACTTTGTTTACTTCCATAAGATAGTGACATCACTACGTAACACTCAGGCTTCTATTGGCTAGAACACATTATACGTGATAGGCTAAGGGGCGGGACATCTCTAAGTGGTTGACCAATGACAACAGAGCCGGCCAGCTAACCAATCAGAGCAGACTGGGCTCTGGTTTCAGATAGAGGGTGAAAAGAGGTGCTGCGGCACAGGCAGTGAACTTTGAAGCATGTGAACGTTTCATGGTAGAGGCACAAAATACAACTATGAACCTGAAAATGAAATGTCCTCTCTTAAAACATATGACTATAGATGTTTAAATATTATTACTTTAAAAAATGTGCCTGAAATGCAGCGTTTCAGTTGCAATCTCCTCTGAGTTTCAAGTCTGTTGCAACTGCAGCTGGTTACACCACATACAAAGATTATATTAAATATTTTCAACTTCTGATACTGCTCTGCCATTTTAGGAACTAAAGTACTAATACCTCAAACAATGTTACTGAATGCTCCACTACTCAAATGTTTTATCTGTAAGACATGGTTAATATTTGGCAAAAAATGTATTTATTTTTTAAATAATAATATGTATCTCCTTGACACAGCTTCCTACCTGCCCCGGCCCAGTGCTGTGGAGTATCAGTTTATATACGTAGAAAAGATGGGAAAGTTGTGTGCCCGAAGTCGTCCCTTCACCTTCAGAGCTCCCAAACCGCTGGAGGAGCTGGAGACTCTGAAAGAGGAGCGAGGTGAGGAGGACGGAGAGGAAGAGGATCTGCTACTGGTCATCACCAAGGCTCAGCTGCTGCAGGTGGGAAAAATACAAAAAAGCTTCTGTGCTGCATTTAAATATTCCTGAAAAGCTACTATAAAAATATGAATAGGAAATACAAGAAGAAGGCCCTTTAGTGCCACTACTGTGTACTGTGATTCAATTGACTGGAACCACTAACATTGCAATTGTCCGTTTCATGTTAAATGTTTGAATATCCCCGTCCTCTCTCCACATGTTGTGAACAGAGTCAGCTGGATGAAAGCTTAAAAAAACAAGCAGATATACATCTGGCCCTGGACTGGGCGAAAGAGGAGGCAGAGAAGCAGAAAGAGGACAGCAGAAAAGCAAGGGTGGCCTGGGAGCTCGAAAGAGAAGCAATGAAGCAGGAGATCTCAGAGCTCAGAGCCAACATGAAACACAACTGTGAGATCTTGAAGAAGATAGAAGGAAATCACAAGGTACATACAGCTTATGCCATCAGATGTCTTGCCCATTTTTACCTTTTCTGAATGTTATCAATAACTGATGACACATCTTGTTTCTCTTCTCTCCACAACATTAAAAGAATGTAAAATATAGTCAGGAAAATCTGACATCAGAGCTGAGTAAACTGATGGTTGAAAAAGACGAAAGTGAGCAGCGGATCCAAGAGCTGGAGGAGGACATCAAGGTCTTGAATGACAGGGAGACAGAGGAGAACAGTGAACTGGAAAGGCAAGTGTTGGAGATACATGCTAGCATGAACATTTGTTTCTGTATTTCTTTTAATCTGGGCCTAAAAACAACTTGTTATCCAACAGGCTGAAGGAGAGAGTGAAGAAAATGTCCAGTCAAATGAAACATGATGAGGAAAAGAGAAAGTGTCTGCAGGTAATGGGTTGAGGCTTCTTCTGGGAACAGATGATAAGAATGTAATGTAATGATTTAAAGGTGACCTATCATGCAAAATGTAAGTAAGTAAAACTTTATTTATAGCACCCTTCTCAACACGGATGTACAAAGTGCTTTACAGTACTGTAGTACACAGGACACAATTCAAAGTACAACTATACAATGTAGAATAAAAGGCATAAAACAGCAGCAGGTAATACATAGGATAAAACATACGATAAAACACCAATAAAAGACAGCTACTAACTCACCTCCTCCGACGACCCAAAGGCCTGTCGGAACAGGTGGGTCTTTAACTGCCCCCTAAAAATCTCTATTGAGGCAGAGGTTTTTATTATCTGGGGGAGTTTGTTCCAAAACCTTGGGGCCACCACCTCAAAGGCACGGTCCCCCTTAGTCTTGCCCGTAATGCACTTTTTGATGTCTTTTATACATAAATATGTGTCCCCGGTGTGTCAGGGAACTCACAAAGTGTCAGAAAACAAAACCCTCTCTCGTTTCCTCCGTACCCAAATCTCTAAAAACGGGGGTACAACGGAACTGATCCAGATTTGCTACGATTTGACGTAATATCGAAATGTAGGCTGGCTTTACGCCCACGGCCCTATCAGAAACGTCGCTATCAGAAACAATGCGCAACGTGTTTTGGAAGTAATATGGTCTTTGTTTACATTAGCAAGCACCGCTAACACTCAGAGCTAACCTGTAGCCTACTGGAGAGTATGTGTAAAACACTTTATATATACAGTCTATGGTAAAAAAGCAGGAAATAAGAAAGGGAACTCACCTTGTGGTAAACCCGCAAAAGAAAAAGCATTTGATTGAGCTCCATACTGTAGTATCTGCTCCTGCATGAGCTCCCACCCCCTCTTTTTTTATTTTTGTTTAAAGCTACGACCCTTCTCTAACAGGGCTGAGTTAGGGATATGAGGCAGGGCTAGAATGGGTGATCTGTTTGGTATTTTGAGCAAAACACATCATAGACATGTTTTTTATATATTTGTATATATCTGAGACCAATAATATATGCTTACAAATAGTATAATAGGAGACCTTTAAATGGTTTGGTGTCATCTTGAGATGTTTTCACTTCCCTGTCCCCTTCTGCTCTCCACAGCGGGAGTACGAGGCGGCTCTGGTGGAGGTTCGAGGCCTGCAGGATCGTCTGGAGGCTAGTGAGCATGTAGCTGAGAGCCTCCGCAGGGAGCTGAGGGAGCTGGGCATCCGTCAGGGCCACACCAACACCGAGCTGCACCAGGCCCGGCTGCAGGTGGCCCAGCTCACCCTGCAGCTGTCCGAGGAGAACCTGGTGCTCAGGGAGGAGAGAGCCAACTGGACTCTAGAGAGAGAGGCGTACAAACATGCAGCAGAGGTGAGGCTACAGCAAAGCACATACAAACATTGATTGATTGATTGAAAAGTTTATTAACAGCTTGTATATTGGGTACAGTACAGCTCAAAACATACAATTGTTAAGGGGATGCAGACCAGAGAAAGACTTTCGTCTTGTTTACATCAGGGTCCCCCATTTCCAATTCATCATGTCATTTAAGACATATAAGACATATTTGACATACAGATGGCTTATTTACAATTTACATACAGGTGGTTTTTTACATACAGATTGCTTATTTACAATTTTCATTTTAGATTTCGTTCTAATACATCCTAACCGGACATTTAAGACATACCATGTCTACAGATATACAGTCTAAAATGCGAGTATATACATAGATGGGGGGGGGGGGGAAGCTGTCCATTGAACGACAGGTTGAGATTTGTACCATTACCGGGGCCAGTTTTGCAATGCTCTCCCCCGAAGGTGCTCTTTAAGAGAGGTTTTGAAGGTAAGTATAGTTTTACTTTCCTTTACAGTTGTGGGAAGAGCGTTCCACCTTGATGTGGCATAATTGCGAAACGTGTATTCCCCCTTTTTTGTGCCAAATCTGGGTTTCACATGATTTGTGGAGCTCCCTCTGGTGTTATGATCATGGTATTCCTTGACCTTTGGGAAGAATTTTGACATGTACATGGGTACCATAGAGGTGTAGTGGATCTTGTAGACCAGGCCCATTGCAAGTAGCTGTACTCTGTCGTGTACTCTAAGCCATCCTAGGTTGTCAAAGTGGGCAGAGGTGAGGTGGGTTCTAGATGAAAGGTCAAGCAGTAGTCTGACCAGTTTATTTTGCGATGTTTGAAGTTTTATTTTTAGCGCCTTGGAGGTGCTATGGTACCATGACGTGCAAGCATAGTCATAGTACCCTTGCATGAGTGCTCCTGCCAGAGTTTTCAGGGTGTTTTTGTTTACCAGAGAGGAGATCCGGTATAGGAATCTAGTTCTTTGATTGACTTTTTTTATTACATTGGATGCCATTTTGTCACAGGAGAGGTTTGCCTCAAGAATAGATCCTAGGTATGTAATTTCCTTCTTACTTGTGACAATAATGTCGCCCACTGCAACTGAGAAGTCGTCGGATTTGCTGAGATTATGTTTCGAACCGAAGAGAATGGACTCTGTTTTACCCAGGTGTAATGATAATTTATTATCGGCGAGCCAGGTGCAGATTCTGCCGAGCTCGGAGCTGAGGGTTTTTTCAACCTGCAACCTGTTCCTGCCAGAGACCAGCAAGGCTGAGTCATCCGCGAACAGGAACAAGTTGCAGTCACATGCTGATGACATGTCATTTACATAAATTAGGAACAGTAACGGACCTAATATGCTTCCTTGTGGAACACCACAGCTCACTGGGAGGGGGGGGGGACAGAGTACCGTTTACCTCCACCATCTGTTCTCTCCCCTCCAGGTAGGATTGCATCCAGCTCACCGATAGTTTATCAAAACCAATTGCTTTTAGCTTGTCAATCAGAATGGGGTGATTGACAGTGTCGAAAGCCTTTTGTAGGTCCAGCATCACCATGCCGCAGTACTTGCCCTCGTCCACCTCTTGTTTGATGTGGTCGCTCAAATAAAGAAGGCATGTGTCAGTGGAGTGGGATGTTCTAAAGCCAGATTGAAATTCATAGATTAGTTTATTTTCCGCGAGGTACTTTTCGACCTGTTCATATACTATTTTTTCCATGACTTTCGAGATGGAGGTAAGTATAGAAACAGGGCGGTAGTTGCCTGGGTCCAATTTGCTGCCCTTTTTGTGCAGGGGGGTTACTCTTGCAATTTTGAAGTCTTTGGGTACTTTTCCCTGTTTTATGGAGAGGTTAATTATGTGAGCTATGACTGGTGAGATGGCGGTTGCTGTGTCTCTGAGGAATTTGGAGGGGATATTGTCGGAGGTGGGAAGTAGTGGAGTACAAATACTTCGTTACTGTACTTAAAGGTAGGGTAGGTAAGAATGGAGAAAGAAACCAGCTCGAGTGCGCTAGAATTTGAAAGTACACAACCGAAAAATCTGCCCCTTCCTTCAGACTTCCTTACAGAGCCCCTCCTCCAACACACACGAACGCGCATATGACCAATGAGGGCACGAGATAAGTTTGTGCACAGATGAAAGGCTGACAGGCAGGTAGGCCATCCAGTTATCTGCCGCGGGTCGGGTCGGGGCAGATCATTGGTCGTGCTTTTTGCAGCGCCACGGCTTCCACAGATGAAATATTTGTATGTATTTATTGTCAAAGCATTTAATATATTCATTGCTATTGGGATGTTAAGAGCATTCCATGGAATATAACAAAAAGTGTTTCTGAAGTGAATTACCTACCCCACGTTTAAATACATTTTTCGGGTATCAGTAGCCTACTTTACTCCACTAGGCTACTTGTTTTTCTGACGACTTTTTACTTGTACTTCTTACATTTTTAATACAAATACATGTACTTTCTACTTATTACATTTTCAAAACAAGTTTGTTACTTTAGTTTTAATCTCTGTTTGGTGACGTGATCATTATTATTTACAGTCATTGCGTGCTATTGATTTTAACACGATCTGTGTATCCATCATTTCCTGGTCTTCTCTAAAGAAGAGCGCCAATGAGGTCTTTGTCATTTTGCATCGAAACATTCATTAGCTAACAATGACATTATTGTTCTATTAATATAAGGGAGGTCAGTTACTCTTTAAAACAGATGGTAGTTATGGGTACTTTTTACTTGAGTACATTTCGAAGTCCATACTTCTTTAGTTTTACTTGAGTAAAGAAGTTAGAACTTCTAGTTTTACCAGAGTATTTGTAAACACGAGTATCTGTACTTCTACTAAAGGATGTGTGTTCTTTTGCCATCTCTGCATACAAATGCCCAAATGTCAACCTGGCTGTATTGTTACGTTTTTTTTCTTTTTTTTTTCATGCAGACAGATGCAAAGAAATTACAAGACCTGAGCTGTGAGGTGCGGAGGAAGGAGGAGTGGCTGCAGGAGGAGAGGATGGAGAGGGAGAAAATAGAAGTGGAGCTTGGACGAGAGAGAGATTGCACTAGAGTGAGTTCATCGCATTATTCAACGCACAAACAAATTCAGCTCTAAATATAACTGATCGTGTGCCATCGTCATCTGCTCGGATTACATTTCTGGAAACTGGAGAACGAAGCCAGAGTTCAGTGTAGTTATTGTATGACTCACTGGCAGGCACAAATAGAAATCTTCCATGAACAGCGAGTAAACATTTCTCTTTACTGCCATGTGATGACAACAGCAGGTGAGAGGATGAGCCTGGTCAGAGTGTGTTGGGATGAGTAAAATACTGCTGCCCCCTGTAGGTGCTGCAGAGCGACTCCAAGAGAGAGCTGCAGGAGCTGAAGGTCGGTCTGAGGGTGGCCCAGAAAGAGAGGGAGGAGCAGCAGGCGGAGAAACAGGCAAGGCATCACACACACACACACACACACACACACACACACACACACACACACACACACACACACACACACACACACACACACACACACCACACACACACACACACACACACACACACACACACACACACACACACACACACACACACACCACACACACACACACACACCCACCCCACAGTTATTTTTGTTTTAATCAAATGTGTATACATATAACAGTTGTCATGCTTTTGTGCTATTGGGTGCCCTCGTCGAATGAATTAGGTTCCCAGTTCTCATTTTGGCAGTAAAACAAGTCACTAAATATACTTTTCCATTACTGTACTTATGTTCAATGTAAAGTATTTTAATTTATTATTACTACTCCCTTAAATGTCAGAGGAAAATATTGTTTTTTTAATTCATATGGTGTCATAAGTTAGTGGTTGCTTTGCAGATTCAAATTAATAACACAAATGTAATCAATAAATAGATTAGAATGTATTTTTTATAGTTAAGATAAGACCTTAAAGCTGCAACATTAAAGTGAAGTACACATTATTACATTACATTACATTACATTACATTGCATTTAGCTGACGCTTTTATCCAAAGCGACTTACAATAAGTACATTCGACCAGGAAGACACAACCTTGAAGAAAACAGAATCATATAAGTATATCAGGTTTCATAGAGCCAAACATTTCAAGTGCTACTCAACTGGCTTTAGGTAATCCAGTTCTTTATTAGTATAAAAGTGCTTCGTTAATCGTTCTAACGCTCGAGGTGGAGTCGAAAGAGATGAGTTTTCAGTTTGCGCCGGAAGATGTGCAAGCTATCTGCCGTCCTGATGTCAATGGGGAGCTCATTCCACCATCTTGGAGCCAGGATAGCAAACCCACGTGTTTTCGCCGATGGGAACTTGGGTCCCCCTCGCAGCGAGGGCGCAACGAGTCGTTTGGCTGATGCAGAGCGTAGTGCACGCGCTGGGGTGTACGGTTTAACCAACCATGTCCTGGATGTAGGAAGGGCCAGATCCATTCGCAGCACGGTAAGCAAGTACCAGTGTCTTGAAGTGGATTCTAGCAGTTACCGGAAGCCAGTGAAGGGAGCGGAGGAGCGGAGTGGTGTGGGAACATTTAGGAAGGTTGAAAACCAGACGAGCCGCTGCATTCTGGATGAGCTGCAGAGGTCGGATGGCACATGCAGGTAGACCAGCCAGGAGGGAGTTGCAGTAGTCTAGGCGTGAGATGACGAGAGCCTGGACCAGAACCTGCGTCGCTTTCTGTGTCAGCTGGGGACGTATCTTCCTGATGTTGTAAAGCGTGTATCTGCAGCAGCGGGTTGTAGCAGCGATGTTTGCAGTGAAGGACAGGTTGTTATCTAGGGTCACACCCAGATTCCTTGCAGTCTGAGTCGGGGGAAACAACTGAGGTGCCGATGTTGATTGTCAGGTCAAGAGTTGGACAATCTTTTCCCGGGAGGAAGAGCAGCTCAGTCTTGTCAAGGTTGAGCTTGAGGTGGTGAGCAGACATCCACTGAGAGATGTCAGCTAGACAAGCAGAGATGCGTGCGACGACCTGGGTCTCTGAGCGGGGGAAAGGACAGAATTAATTGGGTGTCGTCAGCGTAGCAGTGGTAAGAAAAACCATGCGGGCTAATGACTGATCCGAGCGAGTTTGTGTACAAGGAGAAGAGGAGGGGACCAAGAACAGAGCCCTGAAGGGACCCCCCGTAGTTAATTGACAAGGGTCGGACTCAGACCCTCTCCAAGTCACCCTGTAGGTACGGTCTTTCAGGTATGAGGTGAGGAGGGAAAGTGCAGAGCCAGAAACTCCAAGTTTTTGGAGAGTGCGAAGGAGGATCTGATGATTCCACCGTGTCGAATGCAGCAGACAGGTCCAACAGGATGATGACAGAGGAGAGGGATGCAGTTTTTGGCAGTGGTGCAGTTCCTCCGTGACAGCAATGAGAGCAGTTTCTGTGGAGTGACCTGCCTTGAAACCAGACTGGTGCGGATCCAGAAGGTTGTTCTGATTGAGATAACAGGAGAGTTGTTTAAAGACAGCGCGTTCAAGTGATTTAGACATTATAGGGTCAATAATAATAATCCAATTACATAATATTCATTTTTGTATACTGCGTCATTTTTCCATAATGGCTTCTTGATACTAAAAGTATTTTTTTATGAAAATACTTTTTACTTGTCTCTTCCACTGTTTACATTCAACGATTCAAAGATGTCTTTAATTCAGCTGTAAGACTCCCTTACCATTGAAGGAGTGTGTGGGTCAGGCAGCATCGCAGAACTGTGGCGACAACACTATTATGAGTTGTTCAACTGTGTTAAGAGTGATGCATTTGTGGTTGAAAAGGTTGACTCCACTGAAAATGTTACAGTTAGATCAGAGGAAGTCTACAACACTATAATGAATCTAGAAAAGAACAAAGCTTGTGGCCCGGATCTCATCTCAGCTGAACACTTAAAACATGCCAGTCTTAAGCTTGCTCCTCTTTTGCTCTGTGTCTTACTGGTTTCCTTAATCATGGTGTCTTACCAGATTCCATGTTATCTGTGCTACTTGTGCCAGTCATCAAGGATACAGCTGGGAAGATTAATGGCATTGATAATTACAGACCCATTGCTTTAGCTAGCATTCTCTCCAAAGTGCTGGAGAACATTCTGTTGGATAGGCTGGAAAGGTATATTACCACAGCTGACAACCAGTTCGGTTTTAAAAGAAAACATGGCACAGATATGTGTATTTTTGCTTTAAAAGACATTATAGCAAAATATAGAAGCCATAATTCCACCATGTTTCTGTGTTTTATTGATGCTTCCAAGGCATTTGATCGACTGAATCATTACAAATGATTTGACAAAATGTGCCAGAGAGGGATACCCAAGTACATAATAAGGATCTTAGCCTTTTGGTATGCACATCAGACTATGCAGGTGAAGTGGGGCAATACTGTGTCTGAACATTTTTATGTTGGTAATGGGGTCAAGCAAGGTGGGATTTGATCTCCTTTGTTGTTTAATCTGTACGTGGACGATCTGTCGAGGAAACTGAACTTGTGTAAAACTGGCTGTGTCATCGGAGCTACTGTTGTCAACCACCTTATGTACGCAGAGGATTTAATCATCTTCTCCCCATGCAGTGCTGGCTTACAACAGCTTCTGAGGACTTGTTCCCAGTATGGCATTGATTTTAATATTAAGTATAACGCCAAGAAGAGTCGCATCATGATTGTGCGAAGTAAAGAGGATAAAAAGGTTGTATTTCTTCATTTTATTCTCAGTAGCAACATTCTTCTTGTGTGCAGTGAGATGAAGTACCTTGGTCATTATATTTCTGATGATCTCACAGATGACAAAGACATCCATAGACAGCGCTGCAAACTGTATGCCCAGGCAAACATATTAATGCGTAAGTTTCACAAGTGCTCTGTAGATGTCAAGGTATCACTTTTGAAAGCTTTCTGTGCACCATTGTACACGGCTCACCTGTGGAGTAACTACACGGCTCACCTGTGGAGTAACTACACGGCTCACCTGTGGAGTAACTACACGGCTCACCTGTGGAGTAACTACACGGCTCACCTGTGGAGTAACTACACGGCTCACCTGTGGAGTAACTACAAGGCTAGAAGCATGCAAAAACTAAAAGTTGCATACAATGATGCTTTACGGTTGCTGCTGAGGGTACCAAGATGGCACAGTGCCAGCCAGCTGTTTGTTAACTTGGGGGAACCTACTTGTCCCGCCCTTTTAAGAAAGTTAATGTACAAATTCAAGTGTCGCCTAGAAGACTCGGACAATCACGTTATCTCGATTTTAATTAACCCTGTGAAGAGTTCTACCCGGTTCTCTTCCATGATGTGGAGACATTGGAGCAATAGCCTCCACAGACGGTGAGCATGTGTGGCTCGCTGTGATTGGACTGATTTGATGTTTTCATCTGTTTGTTTTTATCTGTTTTGTGTTTAGCTTTTTATCGTATTTATTGATGTGTGTTTTGTCTTTTTGTGTGATATGGACCTTGAGTCTGGAATAAAGATCGGAAATTACAAAACACAATACATAATTCCATACACTCAACAGGAAATAAGAGAAAATAAACATCATAGTTGTTAACATGAAATACTTTCTAAATGCATTTTAAATAATGTTTTTCTTACTCTTTTCCTTTAAATTGGATTGCCATTGGACACTGGTAGGAGCTGCTGATCTACATCCTTCAGTTGGAGCAGAGGTTGGAAGTTGAAACTGAATCAAAGGAGGAAGTCCCCACATCCCTCTGTGAGTAACGACCACACGTTGTACGCTGCTATCTCCCTGCACTGTAACGAGTACTGAAGTGAAGAGTCTAAACTGATTTCAAACAGCTCCTGGCTCTTCCTCCGAGGATGAAGAGAATGTGTCCTCAGCTTCCTCCCTCTCGCCTCTGTTCCTGTCCACTCCCCTGGAGCGGCCTCACAGAGCCGACACCCCCGCTGCTGAGACCCCAGTCTCTGACACCCAGGTGTGCCATCCCATTCACACATGAGCCAAACAAGGGTTAACTCCACCTGCATCAGAGCTATGAGCCCTGCCAGTTTCTGCTCCAGTTCCATTGTTGACCACTGAGGTTTAACGCTGACTGGTTGAAAGGAGTCAATGTATTTATTCTAACCGGGTCGAGTTTAAATCAGGGAAACATGAAAGCAAGACTTGCAAACCACAACATAAAGGTTTGAAATGTACAGGAATCACAGATGGTTTAAAATGTTGCCAAACTAAATGATTCCTTGATTTTTGTACAAGTATGTTTACACATATAAGGAATGTGCTTGGTGTATACTGTACGGCACAAACACAATAAAAAGGAATTAAGTTGTACAAAAAATTAACAAATCTAAAAAAAGAAGCCATTATTATATAATATGATATTTTCATAAAAACTGTTCTTGGACAATTTACTCTGAGAATAAAAGGGTGGAAGTGTACAATAACTTACACCGACTAACGTGCAATAACAGTATGTAATATAGGTAACATTCTGAAGCATCTTATGACAATCCCAATGTCTTATACATGTGTGAATACAAAATGTGATTATTATCTATTATTGACCTAGTTTGTTTCTCAATATCTAAAAACAACAAGGTGACAGATGTGGCTTTCCACCAGCCCAGTACACACCCTGTTTCCCTCCTCCACTGGAGTCACCTCTCATAGAATATTTTGGGATGACTGCATTCGCACTCTCCTCCCTGGTGGACTGGTTTTAGAAAGCTGTCCTTCCACTTACCAGGCACTTTCTTTTCTCGTGGGAAGAGTCATAGAGCACTAGAGAGTACAAATAGAAGTGTAAATAATATGCATCATAAGAAGAGTAAAAATAGCAGCAATAATAAAACATGTCCAGGATTAGCAAGCGGGAGATCAGAAGTCAAGCGAAGATTGTATTTAATAGCATTTTTACTGACAGTATTGTCTATTTTTTTTATCCTCAGCCCCTTCTGCCTCTTTCTCTCTGCAGTGAGGTGGTCGGATCCCCCATGTGGTAACAAAAAGATGGACGGCAACTGACTTGTATACCGATGAAGCAAGTTTGTGCCGGTCATCAAAAAAACGTTTGGATTGTTCTGATGATGTAGCTGTTTGTGTAGAAAATGGCCTTCACAAAGGACCTATTACAGAGTGTCTGTGTTGAAGACGACACCGTTTATAGTCTTAAGGGTGTAGAATGTTTTTTAATAGAATGGCTTATGGTTTCATTTCTACTTAATAATACAAATAATATATTATTATATTGCTATATATTATATTATGAATAATACTTTAGATCTTCCAATTTAGACCCGAATCGTCTCAAATAATGTCTAAGTTCTAGTTTTCCACTTGTTATCCGTAGGTTTTCTAGTTTTTTTTTTAGCTTATTCAAATATGTCTGAGCATGCTGCAACTGTTTGGAGAAAAGTGTATTTGATGCCATGGATTTATAACGTCTGCGTGTGAATCGTGAAACTGTGTCAACAGTGTGTGTGTGTGTGTTACAGACGAGTGAGAAATGTCCTGTTGCAGCTTGTTCAACTCAGCGTCAGTTTGGAAGAATATGAAAGTAAATGTTAGTTAATGATAGTTTTGCTTATTGATCTGAGCTTCTGAGAGAGATGGTGCTCTTAAAATCTGATGATGAATACGTGCTGGTCTGTAATTTGTAATCTTAAGTATTTCATTGCGGTCTGTAAAGGGATTATAAAGAAGACACTGAAGGTCTGAAACAAAAAGTGCCTTTATCAAAATACAAGAAAGACAACAACAAATAACAAATAAGCAAACAAGCAACAAATCAAAATGTAAAAACAAGAACAAATCAGCCCAGTCTTTGTGTGTGTGTGTGTGTGTGTGTGTGTGTGTGTGTGTGTGTGTGTGTGTGTGTGTGTGTGTGTGTGTGTGTGTGTGTGTGTGTGTGTGTGTGTGTGTGTGTGTGTGTGTGGATATCAGAGCTATTTTTGAGTAAATTGAAGTAAAACAGATGAGGTGTCTGAATCCCTGAACATAAGAATAAGGCTGTTATTTTCACACTACAAATATAGTTTATAAAAAAATACAACAGTTAAAAAACAACAAATGTAACAGATAAAATGGTTCCAGCTTCAACACTCATAAGAGATGACATTTTTTTCTATCAAATAAAACAACATGAATACATTTCCCATCATTGACCTTACTGGAATTTGTATGAAGTTGTTTTTGTCCAAACGTAATGAAATATCTTTGGTCTTTAGTTTTCCATTCACATGCTTACATATAGAGCTGAGGCCTTTGTGACCTCATCCATGGCTTATCTATTGCACCCGCTCAAATCCAAAATAACAAAAACAGAAAACATTATCATGAAATACGGCTGTAATGTGATATTTGAAAACCTCTGGTCTTGGCTGAAGATGTGCAAATGATTGAGTGTGAGTTAGAAAGACGGAGAGAAACAGAGTTAAGTCATAGATTGTGATGTTTCCGTTCTATATTATCACAAATCAGTAGACAGTGACACACAGTCTGTAAACGTCATTGTGGCATCAGTGCTGATCATTTAAAACCTCTGTGTATTTGATGATATCACGTCTGGTGCCAAATATCTATCTATCATGGTCTCTGCTGGACTGTTGCCACTAAGCCGATCTGTTTTCCTCCTATGTTCTCTACATGTTCTCTTTCTCCGCTTCATTCATCCTCATTTCTTTAGATATCTTACACTAGCTTCTTCTTTTATCCCTCATATCAACAAATCAAAAATATGTTGCAGCTTTACACCTGACACCGTACTGATGGAGACATGTGTCCCTTAGAAATATGAAGGAGTCCAGTGAGACTGCGTTGTCTTTCATTAGAGATAATGTACATTTATACATCTTGAGTAAAAAAAGCTAGATGAAAAACAAATGATTTATTTTACAAAATCTCATGTATCTCATGAGATACAGCACACATTTGAAACGGCTGCCCGTGCTTCAGCAGATAGGGAACCCAATGTAAAGCTTTTGTTTTCTTAATGTTGTTGGATGGATGCAACCTCGTGTTATTCAATCATGTGATCAAATATCAGCTTACATCGGTATCAATGTCCAACAGAAGTCTTTGGGTGAGAACATTTGAAAGTTCGCTACAAAACGTATTTGATATGCATTTTTAAGATACTTACAACTTCTGCTTAACTGCTGGCTGTGGATTATGGCACTAATGAGAGTAACATCTACAACATCACTCTGTGGGTTGGTAGACACACTAATGCACACACACCTGAGATTTTCTGTGAAGTACTGATTGTAAGTGTTGTGCCCATTTGGAAGATTGTATTCTCACTCTTACAAAATGAAAACAATATGGCTTATGTGTACCTGATGCACTGTACCAAGGGCATGATCAACAACTTCTATTTCTAATCATCTCTACTCTTTATTGTAAGAAGACTTTTTAATTGAACAGGGGTGCGTTCACAGCAGCAGTTTCTCAAAATTCAGGTGAGACTTGGCACTAAAAGAATCAACCTGAGATTTTGTGATGACATTAAATCTACCCTGCAGATTCTTTAGTATCTTCTGAAATTGTGTGTGTTTTTGTCAGAAGGTGGATATAGTGTGCTGCGTTTGTTTTGCATTATTTGTTCGAGTCCTATTTGCATCACAAGAACCAGAGCTGAATGACAGTCTTCCTCTTATTGTCTTTCCGATGTTTCACGAACTACATGCGAGTTTGAGTCCTGCTCACGACCTGCTCTCTCTTTGCTTTTGCTCCCTTTACTATCTACTATTGCTTTTCACTGTGTCCAATGTAGCAGAAATGCATACAAATAACAAGACAAGCTAAATAAACTATGTGTCAAGTCAAATTTGAGCAGGACTGAAAGTGAAGAATATACAAAAAAGCAACAAGAAGTCCCATAGACAGGAAAAAAGACAACAGAAACGTGTACATGCATAGAAAAACCACTATTAAAAAATAAGTCGCATATCTCTGAATAGCGATAATAGGAATTCTGAGAAGACATTTGCGGAAAATGGACACCACGTAGTGTTCAGTTGTTGCAAAGTATGTTTACCATCAATTGTATGCAAAGCATAGCCCTTATAGATAGCGGAGGAGTGCATTTTCTTCTGTCCACCACCTCTAGTTCCTCTTTGGGTGGACAAAACACTTCTGAAATATCTTTTGTACAGTCTCATTTTGGCACAGTGACGTTTTCCCGATGCTCTCCCCAGCCCACTGAAATGTAGTGCTTTTGCTTCTCCCACTCATTGCCTCCTCGACTGAATTCAACACACTTTCCTTTCAGCCACATGTACAGTATTCAGTCTATGTAAATATGTGCTGTATGAAACACTGCTGTTGTATAAGAGCCTAAATCTGTGAGGTTTCTCAGGAGAGATATTGCTGGGTGAGGGCTCAGTGATCCGAGGGAGGAAGCAGCATCATGGCGTCTGTCTCACTGCGTTTTCCCACTCACGCCCTTCTTTGGCCCCCCCCGCCGCCTCCCCCCCCGACGGCTCCCTGTCACTGTCCGCCCCTCTGTCTTTCTCCTCGTCCCAGTAGTCGTCCTCTTCCTCCTCCTCTTCTTCCTCGACTGCAGACTCATCCGTGGTTTTCTCTTCCTGTTTGATGGCTTGAATGGCGGGGGGGGGCGGCTGCAGCGCTGTCCCCCGAGTCGCTGCTGTCCTCGAAGGCCTCGGGGTTCTCCAACATCTCTCTGATCAGAGGAGGCATGGGGCCCGAGATCTCCGTCTTCAGGGTGACGACTCGCTCAGTACCTACAGGCACACACACACACATTTATTTAATGGATAGTGTATAAAAAGGACAGGCCTCTCCTACAATGAGCATATTTCACAGGTGACAGGTTTCTTTGCTTTTTAGAACAAAAATGCCTATGTCTAGTAATTAAGAAAAAATCTCTTAATTTGCTTCCTAGTTTAAAAGCTAAGAAAGATTGGGCATTGTTTTTTTAAAACCTGTGCCGATATGATATCCAGAGGTGGGGAAAGTACTCAGATCTGGTACTTGAGTAACAGTAGAAGTACCAAAGTGTAGGAATACTCTGTAACAAGTAAAAGTCCTGCATTCATGTTACTCAATCAAAATATACTTAAAGTACCAAAAGTAAAAGTACTCATTATTCAGATTGTGTTGTTTATATTTCACATCATTAAATCAAATCAAATCAAATCTGTAAAGCAACTAAATGTATTAAATAGATGTAGTGGAGTAATACACGATTTACCTCTGAATTGTAGTGGAGTAAAAGTACAGAGTAGCATAAAATGGAAATTCTCAAGTAAAGTACAAGATCTCAAAATGGTACTTAAGTACAGTACTTGAGTACATTTACTTATTTACTTCTCACTTCTGAAGATATCTTGTATTATGAGTTTGTGTACTGATAGAAAAACTTTCTGAAATAATAATAACACAAGAACTTTTTCCAAAAATGGAATTAAACATAAACAAAAATGCAAAATCTGCTATTCAATGCCAACAATAAGTACTATACAGTTGTTTATTCTCAGTACTGTTGGCACATTTAGTAGGAAGGTTTGTTACAGCCCTGCTTATTTGATGTGACACTGGTGTGTGAAACCTCAGCTGACCTTTGGTGCTGATTCCTCGGAGGTCTGTGACTTTCATCAGCATGCGGGGAAACATGTGAGGCTTGTTGGGGCGTCTGCGGCGGGTGTAGATCTTCAGAGCCTCCAGCAGTGGCTCCTGCAGCTTGTCGACCTTCTGGGGCTCCTCCAGATCCATGCGGTCTGAAACAATAGACATATTCAAAGAGGTGAAGACATTTTAAAGATCTGCTATCATATATTATGGGTCTCAGATATATACAATTATATAAAAAACATGTCTATGATATGTTTTGCTCAAAATACCAAACAGATCATGCATTTTAGACATCCCTCATATCCCTCTATTTCTGCCCTGTTAGAGAAGTGCTGATTCTGGGTCTAAAGCTTATACTCAGATACAGCTAAATGCTGCCGTGATTAAACGCCATATTATGTTTCAAACCACATCAAGGATTATTTCTGAAACAGTCTGGAGCTCAAATGCTTTTTCTCTTGCAGGTTTACCACAAGGTGAGTTCCTTTTTTTATTTCCTGCTTTTTTACACATACTCTCTCCAGTACAGGTTAGCTCTGAGTGTTAGCAACAGTGGCGGTTCTAGACCAATTTGACTGGGGGGCCAGGCTGGGGCCAGTTATTTTCTGAGGGGGGCACAATAAATGCGGGACGAAAAAGACAAAGACAGTATGAAGTAATTGCGCATAAGAAAACAATGCAATACAGTTATTGGTATTTGTTTCAGTACAAATATTTATTTCAGATACTTATAGGTACAGTTTTTACGCTCTATAGGTCCGACTAGAAAGACAAATAGCGTTAGTTATGCCTATTCCGTCAGCCAAGAAATCGTTTAATCATAAACTTTTTTTCATTTTCAGGGGGGCCACAGGGGGGTCCAAAGTCAGTGTTAGGGGGGCACTGGCACCCCCTTCCCCCCCTAGAACCGCCCTTGGGTACGGAGGAAAAGAGAGAGGGTTTTATTTTCTGACACTTTGTGAGTTCCCTGACACACCGGGGACTAGGGGTGTAACGGTTCACAGAAGTCACGGTTCGGTTCGTACCTCGGTTTGGAGGTCACGGTTCGGTACGGGTTCGGTACAACAAGAAAAAGCAAAAAAAAGTCCCAAATGCATAATTCCAGGTTTGTTGTTATTTATGTTTGAACAGTAGTGCAAGTTTCAGTTTAAAAATAAAGAACTCTGACATTTTGAATAATTAACTGTATTAAACAGTTAAAAACAAACCATACACAGTACACTCAGATGGCCAGATTATCTATAATGGCTGATGTCAAACAAAAAGGTTTCATCAAGCTGTAAAACTAAAAAGAATGTCTTGAAAATATTACATCATAAATAATAAGAAAGTGTTTCAAGAGCACATAGTCGTTGAAAAACATATGCCAAAAGCTTCCGTTATTTATTTTGGTCTCTCGGCTCTCATGTTTATTGGCTTCTTAAAAACAGCGGGGATCAGCTGTTGAACTGCTGTTGTCTTTTGCCGGCTCCGGTGATTGGCAACTCTGGCTGATGCCTTCTGATATGATTTAGCATGTTTGGCGTGTGTTACCATTAGCATACCGCACCACTGTAGAACAACGCCGACACACCGTCCTCGTCCGATCCACCACTCGCACACTCCATCGTTATTGTAGTCCACAGGGAACCCAAATGTTCCCACACAGCTGATTTAAAAGAAGCAGGTGGGTTCTAGCTCCTGTGTGTTATCTGAACTCGCCATACTAACTTTTCTTCTTCTTGTATTTTGTTCGTTTTGTTGTTGTGTTTCTTCTTGTTCTTCGTTTGTTGTTTAAGGGCGGCTGGCAAACAGCTTTTAGGCGCAATACCGCCCCCTGGATTATACATAGTGTAGTGGATACTGCCCTGAATGACAGACTTTTTTCCCCACTCGTAAAAAAAAGGCGTATTCGTCGTGTGACTGCATGTGCCGAACCGTGACGGTACGGGACGAATACGGATACCGTTACACCCCTACCGGGGACACATATTTATGTATAAAAGACATCGAAAAGTGCATTTTGCATGACAGGAGACCTTTAAGAGTCTGTAAGCTAAGGATATCACGCCGGTAAGAAAAGACCTACCTCCGCAGATGAGGCAGATGGCGCTGAGCAGGCCTGTTTCTGTGTCGTCCATCTCCAAAGGCAGCAGCTGACCGGCAAAGGCAAACACCAGCTCTGTGAGCGGGCCGAAGCCGGCGTTATGCATCTGGGTCCTGTTGAGGGTGAGGCCATCAGAGAAGGTCATTGTGTCCTGTTCTGGGGTGTAGCGAGTGCATATCCTCAGCATCTAAGGGAAGGAATTAAATAAAAAAACAGAGAGGAAAGAACGATGTGGGCAGTTAGTAAAAGGAGGATGAAATGGCAGCTATTCAGATGAATCATTTTAAAGTTAAGCAGCGGGACAAAATGAGAAAGCGTGAGGGAGGTGGAAGGGTAGGAGGAGGTGTTTGGTACCAGGATATCCAGGCATGCAGATTTGAGGAGGGTGATCTGGTCAGCGATGGTGAGTGTGGTGAAGCCTGGTAGCCGCTTGGCAAACTCCACAATCTTTATAATGCACTTAGTGGACAGCTCACTGAACTTATCCCACAGGCCCAAGTCCAGCTGCACTCTGTGGTCCGCACTCGAATTCTGGGAGAGAGAAAGAGGGACACTTTGGTCTGTGTGCTTGAGCAGAGTCCATACAGCGTTCTGGCAAAGCCGTGAGCTATTGCCTCAGTGGAGGGTTTAGGGGGTGGAGGTGATAAAGCATTACAAAACTTACTGTAGTGTATTTTCCCAGTTGGCCCAGAGATGGGAAGGTTTCCTGGTGAGCTTTGCTCACTTTTTTAACCAGCTCTTCCAGTTCCCCGCTCAGCTCGTAGTTCTCTGGCAGCACCACCTCCTCCTTCACGTCCTTCTTCTTTTTGTTCCTGTCATTACGCACCGCTAAAAGGAAATACAGGCACAAGGAGCCGTGGTTTGAAAGGCAATTCTTCCCACAGTATTCCTTTGTAACAATAATATTGATGACCATATTTTCTTCTCACCTTCTTTGGACATGCCAACCTCAAAGCACTTCTGCAGTCGACAGTACTGGCAGCGGTTGCGCGTCACTTTGTTGATCTGGCAGTTCTTGTCTCGGTGGCAGGTGTACACCATGTTCTTCTGGATACTGCGCCTAAAGAAACCCTGAAACCGAAATAAGACGATGTATTTTACACTGATCATGCCAGTAAAATGCTCTTAATAACATCTCTGAAAATAGAACCAACAACCTTAGGTGTGATGTTTTTTTTTAAACTGATATTTGTGATGCTTACATGCTTTACCAAGATCGGGAATATTGTCATCATTAAATCAGAATGTTAGCATTTTCATTGTGAGTGTGTGTTATCATGAAGCTTGAAGCACTTCTCTGCCTGTGTTCAGCCTAACAGAGTTGTTAAGATGGTTATAGACTTTTAGTTGATTGATTTCTAATGTAATGCTTATCAAATAAATTGTAATATGCTTGTGTTGCCTGACTTAGAACGGAAGTCTTTCACTGCTTCTTTCTAAATATATTGTTCTTTGTTTATAGACTTCAAGCAAACAAAAACTCCAAATGTGTTTTTTCATTTCATTTCCAGCTCTAACCCCCTACTTTAGCAAAGCTTTCATTGCATGTAGATTCAGTTGACATTTGCTGGTCACATGCAGCACAATGTTTGGCTGTTACATTAATAATGTGCATTGATAGTAAGGATACACTAGGGGGCAGGGCAGCTCAACAGAAGCCAACAGTACAGCTCTGCAGTGCTGACATCTGTCCGGCTGTGGCTGAAACATCAGCTGTCCCCTTCATACATGTCATGTGACTCCTCAGGTGTCTCTGGCTTCATTTACCTTGCAGCCCTCACAGGAGCTCACTCCATAGTGATAACCAGATGACTTGTCCTGGCACACGAAGCACGGTTTGTAGACGCGAGGAGGGGGAGGAGGGGAAGGAGAGCTGGGCACCATCTCCTCTGAGCTGGTGCTCTGGGTCTCCACCGCTGCAGGAAGAAGAAACAAAAAGCAACTCTTATTATATCAGAACATCTTGTTTACATAAGTGCTTAAAGTCTTTGAAACTATGATGAAAGCTAATACAGCAACTGATTAAGAGAGAATGGTCAACAAACAACCCTCAACCCCATGCAGGCCACCCCTCGGAGCCAGAAGGCAAGCTCAAAGGCAGACATTTTTAAGAGAAAGGGGAGGAGGGTGAGGGGGCACTGCTGATTGACAGGGACTTAAAAGAGACACAATTAGCTGATGGCCAGATGGCCCTGCTGATAAAATGCTGATTGGCAGCTGAGATTTGATTGGCTTCTCCATTTACTGGTGAGTGGGGGAGCAGCATACCTCTGTTGACTTTTTGACTGACATCTGAATCTTTGCGTGTGTGTGTGTGTGTGTGTGTGTGTGTGTGTGTGTGTGTGTGTGTGTGTGTGTGTGTGTGTGTGTGTGTGTGTGTGTGTGTGTGTGTGTGTGCACACGCTCACATTTTTATTTGAAAGGCTGTCCAACCAGACCTGCCTATATACCTCCTGCCCCATGTGAACAAACAGAGGCGGGATGTTTATGAGACTCTGCTGTCTCCCTCCCGCTGTCTCGCTAAAGAAAATGGCACACTGTATAACACCATTTGCTGGCCATAGGCACAAGTCCTTCAACTGCTGCTAATGAAAACGCTCAAAACAAACAATGTAAAGTAGACGCAGGTAAGCGTATCCAGGCGTTTAAAAAAAGACGTGGTTCCCTGAACTTACAGAGAGTGAAACGCGCCTGGTACACATTTGAAGGTGATAAACAAGAACAACCAGATTCCTTCGAACATGCCATTCAACTTTCACCTTCACTCACCCCAACTTCACCTCCCTCTGCCCATTCCCACCCCCACTCCCTTGTTTCCTGGCCCTAAATTCCTCACTGCAGGCTGGACAGGGTTTAATAGTTGCCCAGGCTCATAAGCGGCCCTATAAAGGTTGTGTCTGGGATGGGGAGGAGGCCCCCGGCCAGGCTGACGGCCTCTTTATTGGGATCCAGTCACCTTGGGCAGCTATTCACATCAACAGCTCCATCCTTGGATCCCTTCCTAGTAAAAATAAAGAATCTGGGGTCAAAAACCCCAAAGTCACAGCCCCTCCTGTCGCCTTCAATGGATAGCACAGGACTGTACCAAATGTGGCCCCCTCCCCACCGCAGCAACCCCAACCTGAACCTTCAGCCTGCCATTAACAAGAGTGGTAAGGTTTCAAAAAACCGAAAGCAAAGGCACAAAGGAATAATCTAATAAAAACAGAGAGGGGAAAATGAAAAGAAAAAGAAAGAGAAAGAAGGAGGTGAGTCCGAGGACAGAAACTTCCCAGTGGCCGAGAGGTTAAAAGAAATCCTGACCATTTAACTTTGACCTTGACTGAAGAAGGCCATTGCTAACTACATGACCATCAGCTTGCTTTAAGCTTTCAATTGAGACTTCTGAACTTTGTCATTTCACACAACATTCAGTGAATCATGACTTGGAGGAAAGCTGTTGCTACTTCTAGCCGTTGCAGAAATTCATCCTATAATTAATTATTATTATCCAAAGTAAAAATGTTTTGAGAAAAAAACAACCCTAGTTTTCCATTCAATAATTCATTGGTTACTTTGATCTGGTTTTGACACAGTGCTTTGTAAGTGTGTAATTCAATTAATTATGTAATTAATTAATTGATAAAAGTGTGCAAAATAATAACTGAGGATACTGTTTTTTTAAGTGAAAAGAGTCGGAAATGGAAATAAAAAACACACCAAACCATCGACCATTAACTTCCCGTGTAATGTGCTTACATTTGAATAATTCTGTTGTTTGAAGTCCCAAACTGTGAATAGCCAAATGTTATTGTAATAAGATATATATTAAATAGTTCCTATAACATTTACATTTTAGACAAAGAAATCCGTCTACCTGCACTGACCTTCTGTATGCTTCATCATACAATATAAACCAGATGTGTAGCTAAAGTGCTGATACTTTGAAAATGTGATTCATGTGGTATATGTTATTTGAAACATTTACCAAACCTTTTTTTTAAATCCGTTTTTTTTTTACAAAGATTATATATTACGTCTTTAGGTCAATTATATTTTCCAACAGAAACAAAACAACCCTGATAAACAACAACTTGCCTAAAAGCACATACACTCATTAATAATGCATTAGGAATAAAAAAACACCATTTATTTGATCTGCTATCTGAAATGCGCTTTTAGTTGTTTTGTTGCAATCGAGTGAATATGCTGATTTTCTTTGTCTTCTCTGTTATGGTTACTTTAATATACTTCAGTTTTTGGATTAAATTAACAATTTGAAGACAGCTTTTTGGACTTCAGGAATGTGTTAACAATCACTTTTCATTCCATACAAATATAATAATAGTATAATATTATAATAAAGAAAATGTATTAATTGAGAAAGTAACAGGCTTAATAAAAGATCAAGAAACGATTGCTAGTTGTGGCCCTGATGGTAATGTTCATAGCGTACCTCATGGTTTATCTTGTCAGAAAACCAGATTATAGAGATTATAGAGATTGTCTGCCTAATTCATACTTGCTCTAAATAATAGCACTGTTCTCCAACATTGAGTGAAATTATTCAGAGTTTGCAGGAGAGCGTATCACGTTTCACGTGAGTTTACGGGTAAACAAAGAGCAGCTTGTTGCAGGAGGTAAATACTATAATGTATTCAGTTTGGGGGGCATCGGAGCCCAGGTGTGGGGGGTGGGTCTGAATGAGTAGCGCTGTAACATGATCACTGTTTTCTGTTTATACAGTAACACTGACAATGTAAAAGTGGCCCTGAGAGAACAAGTGGAAAAATAGCTCCCATTGAAACGGAGAAGCTGCATCTGGCGCCAGGAGAGAGGTAGTGAGTGACACCGTCTGAGGGTAGTGAGAGTGGGTGAGGAGCGACGTGACTCCCACAAGCATGACGCAGGGAGACAGGGCGAGAGACACTGGGCTGAAGGCGGCGAGAGAGGGGGGGGGAGGGGGATTTTACCTGCCGTGGAGAAAAGAAGGAGAGGAGCCAAAAACTGTCAAGCGCTGTCATCACCCTGAACTGAGCTCAGCCTCAGAGCCGCGGATGGAAAAAATGCCTCTCTCCCTCTCACCTACAACTCACCCCTCAGCGTGTCACAACATCAATCAGCACACCTCTATTGGATGCAGATCAGAAAGAATGACTCTTGTGAATCAGACTCATCAGCGAGCCGGATTTGCACCCTCTGCAAAGTTTCACATGCAATCAGAACTATACATATCACCTGTCAGTGGATGGTTATTGTGAAAAGCGGTGTTTTGTGAGGGGTTTTTCACCTAACAATAGCATTTGTTAACAATACTTCAGTTGATCTACTCTTGTTTCTGGGTCTGTTCCACCTTACTCCTCTCTGTTGTCAGATCAACACATCCCTGTTTAGACAACAAAAGCCTTTCTGAAAGCGGACACCTTCCTTTTCAGCTCTGATGAGTCTTGGTGGAGTGACAACTTCAAACCTGAGCAGTAGTGGACACAGTAAAAGCCACATACTGCAAGCCCCCCCCCCCCCCCCCATTTCAACTTTGAATTGTATACAGTACACATTTTACATCATAACATTTGTTTGCAGTTAGTACACTAGACTTTTACATAGATAACCGCTTTTATACTGAAAGGAAGACAAGGCTGGTGTCATCAGACGGTTTTCAGAACTAATCTGTCATTTATTAATAAGAGCATAAAACGCAGATTGATGCAATGTGTCATGGTGCTGCAGTCGTTTAAATTCTGCAGCACATACACATGGACAGAGTGAGCATGTGGTTTGTTTGACAAAGATATTGAAGGTGTGTTTCCTTGCCTTGGAGTGGCTTTGCAGTGGACACAGTGTGACATCTGGCCTGCAGCCTGCAGCCTGCCAACACCGTGCATCTCATTGAACTAGACTGTGGCCTGGGGGCTCCAGAGTGTCGTGGACCACTGTGGCATCATAACAACGCAATAACAAATGGTCAATTGTTTAGTTTGAGATAAGATATCATTTTTAACCTCAGATCTTTGTTAAAACAAAGTTAACTGAGCGAAGGAGCAGTTTTGACTGAAACCTCTTTCACTTTGAATCCTCCAAAGATTGATTTTGATAGGAAATTCAGTTTGTACATAACCTCTTGCCTCACAAAATGTTCAGCAGCACACTGTGGAATGTGCGTGCACGTGTGAATGTGTGTGCTGCTGCACGGGGCCACAGGTCAGCTGTGTGTGTGTGTGTGTGTGTGTGCGTGTGCGTGTGTGTGTGTGTGTGTGTGAGGGTTTTCAGCGTGAGTTTGAGTGCAAAAACATTCACAGAAACAGTGTGAGGAAACTAAACATCATTCATCATGAAATAGCCATAAGACATAAAACTGCTTTGTGTCATTTTCAAAGAAATGCATCTTGTAAATTAAATTCTGGTTACATGACAGGGTCTTTCATTATAAAAATGCATGTTTGTTGCTTGCAATGACTGTACTCTGTTGTAATTCATGAGAGCAGATTAACAGTGGGGGAGAGCCACAACCTCAAATATGCTGAGCGAGTAATTACCATGACAGCAGGGAGGAGATAGGGGAGATCTGAGTGACAATCCCTTTCATCAGCTGTTCTAAGTTCAATACCAGCGTCCCCTCCCCTGCGCTCCCCCCTCAGCACAACCCTCACTAATAACCCTCTTCCCCCCTCTGCCTTCCTGCCCTGGCAGGAGGAGGAGTCCTTCCTGTCATTGGCAGCGCCTTTTTAAAGGAAAGGCTGTGAAAACCAGGCTACTGTCCAGGAGATGGCTCAATAAAAACAGCAGCACCAAACACTTAAAAAGGAAGCAGACACAAACACACACACACACCAACACATAGACAAGGGTGTACAAAGGGACACACACACACATTTGCACAAGCTCACTTACAAAAACAGAAATCCTGGACACATACTCAAACCTTAAACACTTTCAG